CGCCAACTTTTCCCTGTAGGTTAGGGTAATACCTAACTTCATTGTTTGGTACAACTTTAGCAATATGACACCTTTATAAATTACTAGCTTTTGCCCGCGACTTTGTTTGCGTGGGATAGTGACTTCCTGCAGATTTTTGGTTTAGAAACTACCACATGTCCTTTCTCGAGTTCCAGACTACGAGTATGTCTGTACCAAATTTCATAGAAATCGGTTCAGTAGTTTAGGCGGGAAGAAAAGACAGACAGACAGAGTTACTTTCGCATTTATAATATTAGTTTGGATTAACTTCAAGGTTCAAAATAGCTTAGAGAGTGGGATGGTTTTTCGTCAGTAAGAGTCTGGAAACGGAGCGATTTTTAGTATGAATTTGACACTCCCGCACGGCCTTGGAGAGTTGTCGATGTTAACATGAATCTGTTTTGAAAATATCAATAACAAATTATTTCAAGTACGTATTTTCTTGTCTCAATGTTTATATAAGATTGAATATATACTTTTTTTATTCAACCTGCGTGGGCAAGAGGGAGTTTTACTCTCTTACTCTGTAAAAAACATTCCATTCCGTCTGTTGATTTGAATCTAATCGCAGTACATCAATGCATTTGCAACAGCGAACTTGAATTATTTTTGTTTTACTATATATTCAAATAACAGTTTTAATATTTTAAAAGCAATCAATGTATAACGGACTAAAATAAACATATTTTATGATTTTGAATACAAACAGTCTTTCTATAAAAAAAACTGAACTCATCTGAATCCCAAATAAATTTTATTTTAAATTCATTATTTATTTCTCAACTAGCGGCCCGTCCCGGCTTCGCACGGGCATTAAACATTACATTTAGATTTGTTAATTTTAACACATTTATAATAATAATATCCGAATAATCCGCGGATATCGCACGATCTCTGGTGAGGCGGCGAACCTCCTTGCCGGATCACCGCCATGGGATCTGGAAGCGAAGGCGCTCGCGCGCGTCTACAGTTTGCGCGCAGACGCGCGTCGCCGGGGCGAGGATCCTCTGCCGCGCCAAATTAGTGCGTGGCGGAATGAGCTCCGGCGAGATTTCATGGCTGAGTGGAAGCAGCGACTGTCGCAACCGAGGGCCGGGCACGCTACTATAGCAGCGGTAAGACCCCTCTTTGAGGAGTGGCTTAAGAGACGCCACGGCGTCCTCACCTTCCGCCTGACGCAGGTGCTTACCGGGCACGGCAGCTTCGGTAGGTTCCTGTTTCGGATCCAGCGGGAGGAAACGCCCGAGTGTCGTCATTGTGAGGACCACCTAGAGGATACGGTGGAGCATACGGTAGCGGTATGCCCTGCCTGGGCTGAGCACCGCCGTATCCTCAGGGAAGTGATCGGCGGCGGCGACCTCTCGCGCCCGGCCTTAGTCAAGGCCATGGTGCGGAGTGAGAGGAACTGGGACGCCGTCTCCTCCTTTTGTGAAGCAGTCATGCTCGCAAAGAGAGAGGCGGCCCGCGTGAGGGAGCAATCTTCCTCCTCACGCCCCAGCCGCCGCAACTGGCGACACTACGGGCGTCGGGGATCGAGGGACGATCTCCGGCCACCGTAATCACGGGTCTGCGGTCGGCGAGTAAGGGTAGCTCGCCGCCCGACCAGAACCAGGCCCAAGCGTACGGCGTAAATAAAAAAAAGAATAATTAAATTCAGATATTATTTAATGATTTTTTTGTATTTATGTGTTTTTTTTTCGTATATTTTTGGGTTTTTTTTTCTATTTTTGATATACTTTTTAATTTTTTTGTTTTTTTTTCAATTATTGAGGTAATAACTCGAGAAGAAAATACATTTATTTTGTTAGAGCTTCTCTGTAAACAATATTTGATGTTGTTTTATTTTGTGGCAGCAAAATAAATTGATTTTCAGGGGCTCCGAATCGCGATAGACCAACATACAGTTGACCATGAGTAAAACATTTCTTTCGCAGATCGAACCCTACTTATTCGAAGGTTTGGCCTTGGGACTTGTTAATTGTTAATGCGAAAGATGTTTTTACCGGAAATTGAAGCCGTTTAAATGGGATTGGCAGATCAGTTGGGTTCATCGGTATCCGCATTTCAAAATGACAAAAGAAAAAATGCCTTTGAACTAAATTAGCATAACTGTAAGCTATATATGCTACTATATTACAACGTACACAACTACCTACTATTTATTAAAATTGAATTGAAAATCATGAAAAATATTCAAGTAATTTATTAGGTTAATAACAAAGTGAACAATATTTTATATAAATGGGTTTAATTCTAAAAAGAACCCCTGCCCGAGTGACGCTTGCAACGCATAGCTAGCCGGATACAGCTTATTTTTTTTATTTTATTTTTAACTCGTGATATCTTTTGAATGGATTGTCAGAATCGAATAATTCAAAAAGTAATATGTATAAAGATATTGAAGCAGTCTTAAATAATACATCATTTATTTTGATAAGGGTTAATACCAAGGTACAAATAAAGAGCTTTTTGTAGCGGTGGTATTTTAATTACTTTTTTTCAATAAAAAAAACGCTTATTGTGACATGACTGTAATAGTTAGAGATATGCTGCCGCTGATTTTTTGTAGATAATGGTGTGTTCTAAAAAAATGTAGTATATCATTTTGTTCTATCATCAATAGTTTTCACAGCGCACGCGATGTAAGGTAGTTTTTTGATATTTTTTTCACACCTTGGATTACGTTATCGTAATTTTAGTAAGGATGCCTATTTTTTTTGAAAATGAAATATAGCCTATGTCACTCAGGAATGATGTAGCTTTCCAACAGTGAAAGAATTTTTCAAATCTGCCAAGTAGTTTCGGAGCCTATTCAATTCATACAAACAAACAAACAAACAAAAAATCAAACCTTTCCTCTTTATAATATTTGTATAGATAAAATTCTAATCGACCAATCACGAAGACCAAATCACTGCATAAAACAGAAACTAAAGTGTATTTCATTGATTAATTGTTTAAAACGTCCATCTCTTTCCCTCAAGGTGTGTCAGACAAAGATAAGGATACCCTGACAATAGTTTTGAAGAGACAAGAGAATTAACACTAGTTTTTGTTTGACTAGTAAATGTGTACCCTCATCAATTTCGACAAAACACGGCCAATGTTAGCTCTGAGCGCTGCTAATGTTCATTGTCGAGGAATTAATGACACAAAATATCGGACATTTTATTAAATACATTATGAGATAGGTGTGTGTTTAAATCTCTACGTATTAATTATTTTATTAAAATAGTTACTGTGGTGCAACATACTTAATTTTTTTTTATAACTTTCGTGAGGTATTCTAAATTAATTATGTTTCGGCTTACTCACGTAATAATTTGATGAGATACTCGACTAGTTTCAAGTCATGCTTTTTATTTGTGAGGGGAAAATAATCAAATGACTTCTCCCGCCCAGGGCCGGGCGGGAGGGAGTGTCAGACTCTTACTGACTAAAAACACTCCTGTACCTTCTCCTGCTCTGGGCCGAGGTCGCGGTGCCCCATAGTTTCAAGTCATGCTAGAGGCCCATATTCATGAGGCGACGCGGCGACTGTCGCGCTGCTACACTCTGCTGCTGAGTTATATGGGCCTTTAACAGGGCTTGAAACTAGTCGAGTATCTCGTCAAATTATTACATACTAAATTTATTAAAACTAATGACTCAAGTGAATTTATAAAGAAAAACTCTACTACTTTCAAGCCACAACGGGACTCTTATTTATGAGCAACGCACGCAGTGCAGCCAACTCCATTGCATCATGAGCACGCTGCAGCTGCTCATGAATAAGAGACCAGAGTAAAAAGATCCGTTCCTTTCCTGACTCAAATTCGTTTGTTATGGGATAGGGCGGCAATCGAGCCGACGGATTATCTGATGGTAAGCAATCGGCGTAGCCATTGATTATCCAGAAAAGTAACAGGTGCATTGCCAGCTGGACATTGTTATTGATTTGAGGATTAAGAAAATGAAGTAGGGAAAGGATTGAACCTTCGGTAACCTTGCTTCTACGTATTGTTAGGACCGAAACCGTTTTTGTTATCCTCAAATAATGTCTTCTGATTTATTTCGGTGCCTTAGAGGCAGTCATTAATGTTCCTGGGAGGGGCCGGTCTTCAGTGTTTGTGGTTCGGTAAGGCGCGCGCACTGTGACTCCACATACGCTAGTTTTTTTAATAAAATTTTAATTAATTATAACTACCTAAATATCATGTTATATTTTGTTGTGTCAGCCCACGTTTTGTCACGCAAAATTAATCATTACATCACAAGGATCAAAGTACATAAGGGGTATAATCGAGTATATAGATAATTTCCTATTATTTTCCCATAGATCAGCTTATAGATAAGTATGGTTATTAATTAAAAAGATAGTATATTGTTTTTATAATAAATATATTATGAATGGCGTATTTATCTTTTGGCCTTTATGGGTATTCCGACTTTAATAAATAAATCGATATAATGTTAATAGGGGGATTTTCCAGTGTAAAAATGTAGATTCTAGCTTTCCGCCCACAGCGAATTTGGAGTATGTTATTTTTTGCTATTCAAACTATTTCATTATTACAGTGAACAAATTTTAGTATTTATTTTCTACATTTTTCATTGTTTGAATGTATCGATAATAAATCTAAACTATAATATTACAAAGCGGTACCATTTTTAAGTTTGTATGTTTGTAAGTTTGTATGTAGGGGGTAATCTTTGGAACCGCCGGTCGGGTAACAAAATTCTTTCGTGTGTTTCGCCGTGTGAGTGAGGTTACCAGACTAGAGACCCAATCCTTCCCCTCCCCAATTCTTAAATTTTAAAATCCTTTTAAATAAAATTAGGGATAAGGGCTTCAGATATTAAGGAATGGGGAGGGGATCGGGGGCTTGGGGATTGGGCCTTGTAACCTTAATCACACGGCGAAATTATTATAGTTGTTTTACGCCGGACTTACTTACTTAGAAAAAGAATCAGAATGTTTATCAAAAAAGAATACTTACTAAATGTCAAAGCCAAAGCCCATATGATAAGGATGGCGGTCTTGGCGCGTCCTGTCGTGGACTTGAACTTGAGCGGGAAGCAGATGGCGTACCAGCGGTCCACGGAGATGAAGGTCAGCGTCAGAACTGACACCGTCACTGATACTGACTGTAACAATGGAGAAAAATAATTATACTATACATATAATAAAATCTATAGTTATATTACATTATTATAAAGCTGAAGAGTTTTGTTGTTTGTTTGAACGCGCTAATCTGCGGAACTACTGGTCAGAATTGAACAATATTTTTTGTGTTTGTTAGTCCATTTATTGAAGAAGGCTTTAGGCTATAAAACATCACGCTATGATCTATAGGAGCTGAGATGTGGGTGAAACCGCGTGATAGTAGCTAGAGCAAATTTATGTATAGTAAGTATATATACTGGTAATTAGTGATCGATATTGAAACACGTTATTGTTCTCATAATAACTAACAACTTTCCAAAAGAAACTATTTTCTATACCTATTCATTAGTTTTATTGTTATTAGCATAACAAACTTTGCGCGCCCGCCGTGCTTCGTTTCAACTGTTTGCGGCGAGGCCCTGGGCGCCCGCGTTTGATCTTGCACGCCCTGCATTAATTTTTTTTATAGTAATAATAAAAATAAAACTAATGAGTACTGTATAGATTAAAACTTTCTTGAATAACGTCGTCGTTATTTGCAATAAATGCTCTTAATTAAAGAAATGTGTAACATTCTATATATTTATGAACGATCCGAAAACACATTGTGCGGCCATTACTAATTGGGCGCTTCTGACAGTTAATCATTCATTTGAAGTCTTTTTTTTTTCGTACAAAAAGACTTGAAATTGATGATGACATGACTGTGTTGTGATGTCACGGTTTTTGCGTGAAATAATATACTTTTGACTGCACGGTTGGCGCGGTGGCTGGGCAACTAGCTGCCGTGCAACCTGTCGCGCATTCGGGTCCCGTACGGAACAACTCTCTAAGTGATCCATAAATTGTTGTTCCGGGTCTGGGTGTGATGTGTTTGAATTTGTATGACTGTAACACAGGATAAAATCCTAATAAAGGAAGAAAATCAAACGTTTTTGTTTAAAAAAACTTATTGGTCAAACATTTGCCATAAAATACAGGAAGAAAATTAATTATATTCTCAATTATTGAAAGTTTACTTATTTTTAAAGATTGTACCTTTTACCAACTAGTCAAATTCAATCTATTTCTGCGTTAAATAGCTTAGGTAGGTACTTAATTCTTAAAAATTTGCTACAAAATATAAAATATAGTGTATCGACAGATCGATGAATAAAAGTATAGTTAATTTTCAATATTTTATTGTATTCGAATTAAATATTTTATTGTTATCGAATTTATAAATTTTTGACCTAGGAAACTACCTAATTTTCAGACTCTTACTGACTTAAAACCCCCCGTTCCTTCTCCTGCCCTAGGCGAGGCCGCGGTACCTCATTGAGCTTGCCTCACAACCCCGGCTGAACATTTTTACTAATCATCATTACTTGACTGCGGAAGCGGTAGAAATTTATACGTCTATTTTTGTTTTAATTTACTTTTAAAAGAAAATACCATTACTTTTCCCAATGCTATTCTAAGAAGCAATGTTCTTAAACTGTTAAAATGTATTTTCGAAATCATTACAAGAAGTAAACATGAAAAGGTTGTATGGAAAGCTTTCAGATGCTATTTGATTCAAAACGTTATGTAACTTAATGACTTTTCAGAAAATTTTCATGTTAAATTTCCTTATCATAGAATTTCGTTTTTTTATCTTCCGTAGCTAATTCTCGGAAGAGTTATTCGCTTATAATTGAATAAAAATTTTCATAAAATTCTACCGCGAAATAATATAATAGAATCTTCATGCGAAACGAATTTTGAAAGAATTGTTTCACAGCGTTTTTTTTTTATGTAATAGGACGGCAAATGAGCAGTATTATGGAGATACCCATACAGCGAAGGAGGAGTAGAAGAAGCATTGCCAACCTTTTGGGGATTAGGGATAAGAAGATTTAGGGATTTAATTACGAGTGCATTGCCGGGTTTTTAGCGGATAAGGGGTTTTGGATATTTAAGGATTGTGAAGGGATGGGGAAAGGGGAAGGGATTGGGCCTCCGGTAACCTCATTCACACGGCAAAACATTGTTTTGGTTGTTTCACACCATTTTTCTGTGAGGCCATGGCGTGCCAAAACAATAAGGCTCTCGCACACTTAATTAAAAATATACAGAGATATCCAACTACGGTTTGTTTATAAGTAGGTTTGGACAGGTTTTCGCTACTTTCACATAAAACCTAATTAATGAAACCTGGCATAAAGATAAATTGTACGAAATAACACAATAGCCACCTTAACCTGGCAATGTGATCCGAATAATCCGCGGATATCGCACGATCTCCGGGGAGGTGGCGAACCTCCTTGCCGGATCACCGCCATGGGATCTAAAAGCGAAGGCGCTCGCGCGCGTCTACAGTTTGCGCGCAGACGCGCGTCGCCGGGGCGAAGATACTCTGCCGCGCCAAATTAGTGCGTGGCGGAATGAGCTCCGGCGAGATCTCATGGCTGAGTGGAAGCAGCGACTGTCACAACCGAGGGCCGGGCACGCTACTATAGCAGCGGTAAGACCCCTCTTTGAGTGGCTTGAGAGACGCCACGGCGTCCTCACCATCCGCCTGACGCAGGTGCTTACCGGGCACGGCAGCTTCGGTAGGTTCCTGTTTCGGATCCAGCGGGAGAAAACGCCCGAGTGTCGTCATTGTGAGGACCACGTAGAGGATACGGTGGAGCATACGGTAGCGGTATGCCCTGCCTGGGCTGAGCACCGCCGTATCCTCAGGGAAGTGATCGGCGGCGGCGACCTCTCGCGCCCGGCCATGGTGCGGAGTGAGAGGAACTGAGACGCCGTCTCCTCCTTTTGTGAAGCAGTCATGCTCGCAAAGAGAGAGGCGGCCCGCGCGAGGGAGCAATCCTCCTCCTCACGCCCCAGCAGCCGCAACTGGCGACACTACGGGCGTCGGGGATCAAGGGACGATCTCCGGCCACCGTAAGTACGGGCCTGCGGTCGGCGAGTAAGGGCAGCTCGCTGCCCGACCAGAACCAGGCCCGAGCGTAGCGTAGCGTTCCGCCCGCGACTTAAAGAGCCAATAGACCACCACAGACGGGGCCCTAAAGGGCTGATGTTCAGCCGGGGTTGCAGGGTAAGCGCAATGAGGCACCGCGACCTCGGCACAGAGCAGGAGAAGGAACAGGGGGGTTTTTAGTCAGTAAGAGTCTGACACTCCCTCCCGCCCGGCTCTGGGCGGGAGAAGCCATTTGATGATTTTCCCCTCACAAAAAAAAAACCTGGCAATGCGGACGAAGCTGTTGGCAAGAGCAATAGAGTTTTGTTGTGTGTTGTGAATAATATATTTATAGTAGTACCGGAGGTTACTTCAATAATTGGGTAGTTTCCTAGGTCAAAAATAAATTAATTCAACGTTTCTATACAATAAAATATTGAAAAATACTTATACTTTTATTCATCGATCGATCGATACACTAAGTTTTCGATATTTTGTAGCTAATTATTATGAAATAAGTAAGCTATTTGACGCAAAAATACTATGACGTCATACCTCAGTTTTTCCTACAAATTTCATAGAAAAGTATCGTTTTTGTCATTTGGGTAAAAGTATTGAATTTGACTAGTTGGAAACTACCGTATTATTAGGCTGCTATTGGCATAGCCCAAAGGATTGGCAAACTAAAGTGGCAGTGGACAGTTCACATTTATCGAAGAACCGATGACCGTTGGGGTGAACGTGAACACGACCAGACCACGCCTAGGCAAACGACCTCCGCAGGGTGTCCGGCAGTGGTTGGATGAGAAGGGCTGAACATCGACCTCAGTGGCGTGCAATTGGGGAGGCCTTTGTCCAGCAGTTGACGATAGGCTGTTAATTACGCTCTTTTATAATATATATAACTAACTCTTACCCGCGGCGTCGCTCCCGTCATTTAACTACCTACCTTACTCTATCTACCGTACTCTACCTACCCTACTTTATCTACCCTACTCTATCTACCATACTCTACCTACCCTACCCTACTCTACTCTACCAACCTTACCTACCCTACTCTACCTGCCCTACTCTACCTACCCTACTCTACCTACCTTACTCTACCTACCCTACTCTACGTACTCTATTCTACCTACCCTACCCTAATCTACTCTATCTACCTTACCTACCCTACTCTACCTACCCTACTCTACCTACTCTACTCTACCTACCCTACTCTACCTACCCTACTGTATCTATTCTCCTCTACCTACCCTACTCTACCTTTACCCTGCTCTACCTACCCTACTTTACCTATCCTACTCTACCCACCCTATTCTGCCTAACCTACACTACCTAATCTATCGTATCTACCTCCCTGCCAATTTTCAGCTAAATCAGTTCAGCCATTCTTGAGTTATAAGTGGAGTAACTAACACGACTTTCTTTTATATGTATACATTGATTTTAAACAAAATAAATTACCTATACATATTACAGTTTCAATTCTAAAAAATCACACAAATGTATTGACCGCCCACAAGTTAACGCACGTATAATAATTTTGAAATTTTCCTTACAACCTTTCAGGTTCAGGTAGGTATTAGATTATTTGATCTTCTGAATAGCTATAAGGGTCATTTTACTGTACCACGTGTTAACGCTCGAGTGCACGCATAACAGATTATTTGCCCTCAATAGTCAAATGATTCTACTTGTAGGGCAAGTAGCAATACTGCAAGGTTGGTGCGGTGGCTGGGCAACGGGCTGCCGTGCAACGTGTCGCGGGTTCGATTCCCGCACGGAACAACTCTTTGTGTGATCCACAAATTGTTCTTCCGGGTCTGGGTGTATGTGAAATTGTATGTTTGTAACCGCACACACGACACAGGAGAAAATCCTAACGTGGGGCTACGTTTATTATAAAAAAGAAAAAAAAAGAAAAAAAAAACAAAGATTGGTAAAGAGATTTAAGCGTAGCAATACGCATGCATGCATGCTCTGAAATATTATTTAAGTACTAGCTTTTGCCCGCGACTTTGTTCGCGTTGAATAGTGATTTCGTGCATATTTTTG